ACATATATTCAGTTAATAACAGATGGGTTTTGTGGATATTATAGTCCCACAATAGGACGAAACGGCCGTCCATTCCTTTCAGGTTTTCCATGGTGATCTAGCTTCAATTGACTCATGATCTTAACCATTGAAATTACTATAATATCTAAAAAAACACCCAACTAATATTAATTAACATATGCTCACTAGTGACTGACGTCAAGAGGCATTTCCTGGAGTTATAGTGAGAAGAAGTGACCAGTGGAGTTCAACCAGGTCTGTTGTGGAATATCAACTCACTGTAGACAATGATGTATGTTGGCGCATTTTCATGGATTGGTTGAAGTTAAACATTAACACCGTTGGATGCCAGCCAGCTCAGTGGTCTAGTGGTTGAGTGCTAGCGCGCGAAACCGGCAGGTCCTGGATTCGAGTCTCGCATGGGGCGAGGTCGACGATTCCCACAACATAACGAAAAGGCCGTCCAGTGCTTCTAGGTTTCCCATAGTGGTCTAGCTTCAACTGACTCATGATCTTAACCATTGATATGTATTCAATTGTTAGATTGAGGTCTGCTTATTCAGGCTTCTCTTTTGTAGTTATCTAATCTAATTCAATACAATATTAGACTAATCTTGTTTGATAAAATATCTAAAAGTATTTTAATCAATGAAGACTTGCATTTGGATTGTATTATTAATCAATGTTAAGTATCACCAAGTGTTGAATATGTAACATGGTGCATTATTGTACTACATCAGAGATTATGATTAGTTAAATAACCGAGTAGAAATTGGCATAAGTATTTCATTCTAACCTAAGTCACTACAATTAGAAGTGATATTTCATCCATTCCGAAAGTTCTATTAGTCTTATCTGAGCTCAGATTGTAGAGAAACCTTTGCTATATAGTTTTAAAATCAAAGTGAATTATTTTTCTAAGTGTTCAGTCTATTTCAGTTCTTTTTCTGTAAGTAATTCTCATACATTATTAATAAATAATTTCCGATAGGGTTTTGTGGATATTATAGTGATTTCAATAGTTGAGATCATGAGTCAATGGAAGCTAGACCACCATGGAAAACCTGGAAGCGCTAGAAAGACGTTTCTTCCTATTGTGGGACCCCTCGGCAGTGTGCATCCACGATCCTGCCTCGCGAGATTCGAACCCAGGGCATATCAGTCTTGCGTGCAAGCGCAAGTGCTTCCAGGTTTTCAAATGAGGTCTAGCTTCAATTGAATCATGATCTCAACTATTGAAATTAATAAATAATTGTTGTCATAATGATTGATGAACATGGGTTACATTTCAGTTATCTGAACTTTTGGAATTATGTAATACTCTCAGTTAAATAGTTTAGTTGTAATAATCTGATTGTTATTTTAGACAATAATATGAGTAACTACTGCTTTATGCTTAATGTATCTATTTAGACAAATGACAAATAACAATTCATATACCAATACAGAACACTCTACATGGAATCCAATAATCCATATTGATAAATATCGTATTATTGAGTAAGTTCACTGTATATGGTAATCTAGTCAAGATATGTTCGTAATTTAAAATTGTATGAATTCTACAATCACCACAAATTCTATATAGTAATAATATTATGTTTAATAGTTGAATTCATGAGTCAATTGAAGCTAGACCATTATGGAGAACCTAGAAGCACAGGATGGCCGTTTCGTTCTAGTATAGAACTTCTCAGCAGTAAGCATCCACGATCACACTCCTCAAAGGTATTCGTAGAAACAGAAATAAACCAGTTGGGGGTAGAAGCTTTAAGGGGACGATGGAAGGTGAAGTAGATGGCTGTAAAGGAAGAAAAGTATGAATAAAGAAACAAATTATAAGACATTAAGACCATGGTAGAAGAAGAGGTTGTACCAGTCTCTTCTGTACACACAATTCTGGTTTTTCCAGATGTATGGCTAATGCTTTAGCAATGCAGAGAAAATGCAGTCGAATTGTCCTTAGAAGACTCCTACTTACCTTGTGGATGACTTCGAACACATAGTCTGTCTTGATCGAGTGATCTGTGTTTACAAAATGTTCGATTATTGAACTTCTTATTGACCCGTCGCCTCCTCTTTATTATCTGTGAATAAAATAAAGTATAAATATATTGTTTATATTTTCATTCTGAAAACAACCACATTTTAAAAAAAAAAGAAAAAAGAAAAGGAAATAAAAATGTCACTAATTGAGATCATGAGTCAATTCATCATAGACCACTATGGAAAACCTGGAAGCACTGGATGACCGTTTCGTCCTAGCATGGGACTCCTTAGCAGTGCACATCCATGATCCCGCCCCCCCCTTGCGAAATTCCAATGCAGGAACTATCAGTCTCGCACGCGAGCACTTAACCACTAGACCACTGAGCTGGTCGGCATCCAACGGTGTTAATGTCTAACCAATCCACGAAATTGCGCCACCATACACCATTGTCTACAGTGAGTTGATATCTCACAAAAGACTTGGTTGAACTCCACTGGTCACTTCTCACTAGAACTCCAGTAATTGCCTCTTGACATCAGTTATTAATGAGCAGATGATTATTGTCAGAAGGGGTTTTGTGGAAATAGATAGGTCCTGGATTCTAATGTCACAGGGGGGCGGGATCGTGGATGCGCACTGCTGAGGAGTTCCATACTAGGACGAAACGACCAACCAATGCTTCCAGGTTTTTCATGTTGGTCTAGCTTTAATCAACTCATGAATTCAACTATTAAAATTTTCTACCATATCTACAAAAGCCCCTTTCTGATAAAAATGTCACTGTTTAATTCTTTCTTCTTCTTTTTCTTCTCTTCTTCTTTTCTTTTTCTCATAGTGATCAACAAATTCCAGATTATGAAAATATATTCATGGCAGCTTATTTAATTGGACAAGAAAATTGTTCCGGTAAATTATCATCTCAACCAAACTATGAATTATTAGATACTACTAATGATAATAGTAGTAATAATAAGGATTCCTCTGATGTGGATACATTAATTAGACAATTTCAATCCAAGTCAAATAATACTAATGCCAATAATAATAAACAATCAGAACTGATATTTAATGAAATATCATTGGATAGATATACACAGAAATGTGTTGAAGTAAGTCGATTAGATGGGTTTTGTGCTACTTAGCACTCGTCAGCAAGGTGTACCTGTAGTCTTGAGGGAACTGATGCTGCCTAACGGATTCAATCCCGTATCACCCAGTTTCACAGTCAGAGACGTTACCACTGAGCTATCCGGTCCGCAACTGGACTTGATACACATGACATTGATCACCATCCAGTGATCAATCAATTGTGATATATACATGTGTACCTGAATTCACTACTTGTCTTGGAAGTTATATCAGCCTTGATAAATTGATGCCTAACTAAATCTTGGTTGATTTTTGCAAGTATATGTTCATCTGTTGCTAACCAATGGATAAGTGTAATGAACATAAGTTTGTTCTATTTTATTTTGTCATTATGAAACGTGGTGTTCTAATATACGACTATAATATACTTTTATAAAAAGTAGAGGATATTTGTAGTTCACTAATATGGAATTATAAATTTCTTAAAAGCGATGTTTACATATGTTAGGACCAATAAGTTAACAATACTGAGACTAGGTGTATCATGCTAGATAATGATGATAAATCAATTCATAAAGTCAATAGCTAAGAAACGTATTGAGTATCTGGAACTTCTTCATATTTGTTGATGTGGAGTAAGACTGAAAAAGAACTAAAGGCGATGAAAGCAAGACAAGGCATCAATTCAGAAAATCATCGATTTTTGGTTAGAACTGTTTAAGAAGATATAGACTAACTGTTTCGATTTCGCGTTTCACTTTTTCATGTTCTGAAACTTTTAGGTCATATATTCCTGCTTACGTTGTTTTGAAACATGATAATTGTTAAGTGAACAATACATATTCACGTGTTTCTGACTATTTGAACTGTTGTTATATCTCTTTCTGGACAAACTTTAAACATGACATCATTAAGTACATTGACTTGCTTATGATTCAATAGAATCGAGTCTCATTTTAATTCTATGAAACTAATTGTTTTATAGTCAACCTAAAATTCATCAGTAAAAATATATATAACGTAGCTAGGTAGTATGTTTTGGGCTGATATTCATTTCAAGATTACTATCAGAATAAACTTACATGAGATGAGAGACAAATAAAAATTAGCTGGCAACAAATTACAATTTTCTCCTAGATTTCATACTCCACAATGATATTAGAAACCATAGATTTACATGAAATTAGATCTATGAATATGCGGATCGATAAAGCAAGAGCAGTATATTTACAACTGAAAAACATCTAGAACTCAAAACAACTGTCTGTTAACCAACACCAGGGTCAGAATTTTCAATACAAATGATGAAACAGTTCTACTGTATGGGGTGGAAACCTGGAGGACTACGAAAGCCATCATCCAAAAGATACAGATTTTTATTAACAGTTGTCTACGCAAAATACTTCGGATCCGTTGGCCGAACACTATTAGCAACAACCTCCTGTTGGAGAGAACAAACCAGATTCCAGCGGAGGAAGAAATCAGGAAGAAGAGCTGGAAGTGGATAGGACACACATTGAGGAGAGCACCCAACTGCGTCGCAAGACAACCCCTCACATGAAATCCTCAAGGCTAAAGGAGGAGAGGAAGACCAAAGAACAGATTACGCCGGGAAATGGAGATAGACATGAGAAAAATGAACAAGAATTGGATGGAACTAGAAAAGAAGGCCCAGTACAGAGTGGGTTGGAGAATGCTTGTCGGCGGCTTATACTCCATTGGGAGTAACAGGCGTAAGTCAGTAAGTAAGTCATGAATTAATGTTATATATAGATATCCGATTTCAGTAAACATTCATACCATTAGTCATAATTATTTATTACTTATTATTAATAATCCCTTTTTTCAATATTATAACTTGTGGTACACTGTAGAATTCTCAGCACAAATTATTTCAACAAGTTTCCTTTTCTTATTTCTTGATCGATCCTGACGATAAATATTGTAACATGTACAGTGAAATGTCGAAAACCTTTCAAAAACTCACCTGAATAGGTTATGAGTTTAATAGACATAATAATGTATGTTAAAGAGAAACAAGCGGAAAGATAACTTATTGAAATATCCAGGTGACAAGAACAGATAGCCCGGATATTCAAACAAGTCTCGTTGTCCAATGTCTCTTGAGTTTCGATGGTTTACCGATTGATATATATATAATCCTTGATTATACATATTGTTCATTTAGGGGTTACAACGTATTAATTTAAAATGTGAAAAACTTGAATATATGATGAAATCAATGAAAGATACTCTTACCTTACAAATGAATGCTTATCAGAACCATAAAAGTAAGTTAAAGTTCAAATCATTCTAATTTTTCTTTATAGTTGACAGATAGATATAACTGACATGCTCTAAATATTGTCTAATGACAATGAATTAACTTTATTACTTGAAGTGATTGAGTTTTTGATGAACTGGCTGCAATACAGATTTTTCTGTTCTAGGAAAATATAAACTATTCAAAAATATAATTGATGTGATATTGGGAGAGACAGAAGTGGGTTTGCGCGCGAGACCGAAAGCTATGGTTTAGAATCCCATGAACGAGATCGTGGATGCGCACTGCTGAGGAGTTCCATACTAGGACAAGACGACTGTCCAGCGCCTACAGGTTTTCAATGGTGGTCTAACATGAATCGGTTCATGATTTCAATCAATAACTTCATAATCTCTACAACCCCATACTGACACTTTTAAATATAACGTATAAATTGTTCATTCAGAACCATTTCCCATAGTATTAGGTGTTATTAAAATGTATCATAGGACCATTGATCAATATAAATTAAAACGTTTCTATATAATTTACAAATTTCACGATGTTTTTACATGTTTTTATTTGATCAATAAAGGAACTAAAAATCGAACCAAATATTTTTCAAGATAATTTTTAGCCTGTAAAATTATAACACCGTCTGCTTTTAGATTTTTTTAAGCTTTTTAAAGGCCCTAAAGGAGCCGAAGAGTTTCTATACAATCAGAGCTTTCTAGAATATCAACATGGCAAGCTACCACATGAACAATAACATAACATGCCTTTTTGCGGATTGGCTGAATTATAATGTTAAAACAATAAACGCTAATATCTATAAATATCCATGATTTTTAACCAACAAACACTTCTCCAGTTTTCTTCTGATTTGTGACTGTGGGAATTCTATTCTTTCGACTGCCGTAGTTGTATACCGTATTCTGCGTTAATCAAGTACTGAACATAACACTGGCAAAGGGGTGTACTAGTAACACTGTCAATTACCTTTAAACAAGTAAAATCTATGCTTGAACGTCAGGAAAAATAGTCTGAACAGTTTCAAGTGCATATACTGGAGATGCTGATGCAACAAATGAATCTTAGTCACAAAAAGCTTACTGATGATTCATGTAATTAGCATACCGATTCCGTCATTAAATCTATCCATGAATCTAGTTTTGATGGCTTGGTTGATATTAATTTTGAATCCTGTTTCAAGAAACACGAAGATTCGTTCATGGTAGACCTCAAGAATCTTGATGATGCCACCAAAGTCAGAATACGCCTTAGAAAACTTGGCACGGTTGAATAGAAATGTTACAGTAATTTCATCTTTCAAAAAAAACCGTGGGATTTTTCTTTTGATGCAACAATTGATATCTTATTGCAAATCATTTCTGAACAGCCATATTTGTTCAATATCCGCTATCAGTGCCTCAAGGCCGGTGATGATGACTGAGTGAAACATCCAGGCTAAGTAAATTGCGAATGTGAGCGGCTAAAGCTTTCAGCAATGACAGAAGATCAGTTTGAGTTTCTTGTGTTTGTATGCAGTCCCCAATCTCCTGAAGATGCTGATATTAGAACCAGAAGTTTGAGTAAAATTGAACAATGACCGGACATAACGCTAAAGGAAGTAACCACGGAGTGCCAGTGATTGGTAGACTTGAAACATGATACCTCCATAGTTGAAATGAATAGCCGGTCACCATACATTCATATTGTAAGCGAAAAGAAAGATTCCGGCTGAAGAAAATTATCGCGCACAGACAATCAGCCCTCATCTTCATTCTGGTCATGTGGAGGTTGACATTATAAGAGGTTCTGCCCATATAAAGAACATTGTTGTACTAAATTTCATAATAAGAGCCATAAAGAAACTAGCTACAGAAAAAGAACCCATCGACATCATTCTTCGAAACCCTAGTTCAAGAAATATAGATCCGGTGCATTAACTAACAAAATATTGGTACCTCAGAACCGAGCACGCCTTCTAAGGAATTGATACACAATATTTTTAGCCTACTTTCAGAAATTTATCTTGTTTTACAGAAAAACTTGACAATGAAATTATGAAAAAGTGTAAAAATTTTCCGATGAAGGAGTTTAGAGATATTTCAAAAGAAAATACATTATCTGTAAGTTTATGCATTATTTTCCTTGGTGATCTAGCTTTAATTGACTCATGAATTCAATTAATAAATTTCTACAATCTCCACAAAACCTCTCTGATTATAATCACTATATACTCATTAGTGACTGGCTTCAAGAAGTATTTCCTGGAATTCTAGTGAGAAGCCGTGACTAGTGGATTTCAATCGTGTCCATTGTGAGATAGTAACTCACTGAAGACAATGATGGATGGTGGCGCAATTTCGTGGATTGGTTGAAGTTAGACATCAGCACTGTTAGACGTTTGCGCGCAAGACCGAAGGTTCTGGACTCAAGTCGTGAGTGCTGGATCGTGGATTCTCACTGCTGAGGAGTCCCACACTAAGACGAAACGGCTGTCCAGCGCTTCTAGGTTTTCCATAGTGGTCTAGCTTCAATTGATTCATGAATTCAATTATTAAATCATGCATTCTTGTTATGTTTTCACCACGATGTCACTAACAAAAATATATTCGAAGGTCCTTACCCAAAAACACATGTCCCTGATATAACCCCAGTAAAAGGATAATTAAAACAGTAAAAAACCTGAGAATTTCATCACTTAAGGTGGAAGGTGAAGTTTAATGGGGTACTACAATGTCTAACTGATTAAAACATACTCATTTTTATGAAAATCTTACTGCTATCTGACAATAAGTCAGTTCATATCATACATAACAAATAATAGAGGTAATATAAACATTGAATCTATACTCGAAGTAAATCAAATGAATACTGCAAGTTATACTGAAGAAATATCACACTGAATTAAAACATAATCTTGTGTTTTATTCTGTCTTAATTACCCTCAGTCCTCCAATCATAACAATGTAAAGTGTAAACGACTGGTAGAAAGTATTAATTGACTTTGACTCAACTTATATGATTATGTATATATAAACATATAAGGCTACAAAGCGGTTCAAATGACTGTAAATAACACGGAAGTTTTCGTTTAATGAGCGTCCATATTTAATATCAATGAATCACCGATGTCTACAAGTAGATACCCAGGTATATGAAACAAGCGAAAGAGTAGTATTAGGAAATTAATATGGAATTATGTCGGTTCTAAATTGATGATCAGCATGTATAAGTAAAATATTCTTGGTAAACAATATTTGTTTTCAACCTCCTTATAATTATAGCGATACGGGAGAGCAAACTGTTTATATATTGGTAAAGGAGTCTTAACTACCAATAGGTACTGTAACTGAATGTGATACTGTGATATGAGTTACTTATATCCATATAGGTGGTCAGGCAGAGAACGTATTTTAGCAGAAGATCGATAAGGAAAGAATGGAAACGGAACACAATCGGTATGAAAATCTATGAACAATGAAATTTGAAACAATGGACTGATATTTTCAAAGGAACAGTGAAGTTTGAGACGATGGATCGATATTTTGCAAATTAACAATTTACTATATGGTTCTCAGATTTTATTAAGATGCTCTGTAATTTCATGTCAAATACATTCGATTGTCACCACTGGTGTTCTTGTTCACCACAATACGAATTCCCAACTGCTACCATTTATAGGACAAGACGATAATTAAATCCGTTTTAATACGAGTTTGTGAAACCCGTTTCCCGAAGGTGATTTGGCCTGCATGACCAAGTAAAGTATAGGTATGCTTAAAATGGATGTTCACGTACACCACTAGTTTTGCTATGAAATCAAAGAAGGGCGTATTTTAAAAGTTAGGGCAATGGGATCTAATGTTATCCTCAACATTTTCATTCCCATAATGTGTATCGTACTTAGCATGTTCGACTATTTTTACATTCGTTTAGTGAGTGAGTGCTGGTATTAAAGTGTGTTTTTATTAAGGATTTCAAGATCTGACTTTCTCCGTAATTTTTCTCTGTTTCATCTGACTTCTTGAACCGAGCTACACTGTACACATTAGTAGAAGACAGTGATAAATAACTCCAACGGTTTGAAATGAAGTCGGTGATGAAAATTTCAGTTCATTATACACCAGTCACCAGATAAATGACCAAAACTGTTGGTTACGACATAGTGAATACTGAAGATGTTACTGATAACCCCTAGTCTACCATCCGTCATTCCGTTCTTACATTTATTTATTATTACAGAGAATTTGTAAAAATATTTGTCATTGGGTGGTGTAAATTTGCATAATTAACACATCTACTATTTCGTTTTCTTAACCATTTCTAGTCGGATATAGCAAAGCAATTCACAAATTCATTGAAAACAATCATGGGACGTAAACGATATTTTCAAGTAAGTTGAAAACTTCAAAAATTACAATTGAACTTCCTATCTTTTGAGATTTAACAATTGAAAGTAAATGTAATAGTTGAATTCATGAGTCAATTGAAGGTAGACCACCATGGAAAACCTGGATGCACTGAACAGCTTTTGCGTCCCAGTACAGAACACCTCAGCAGTGCGTATCCATGATCCTGCCTCGCGAGATCCAAACCCAGGACTTATCAGTCTCGCGCGCGAGTGCTTAAACTTTAGACCACTGAGCCTGCATCTAACGTTGAAAGAAACCATAATTATATTTGAAATAATCTCAGCGATTGAAATTTAAATAATTCCAATGTTTCGTCCAGCTTACATTTCAGTCGCTGAGATTATTTCAAGTATACTTCTCGATACTCGACACCCGATTTCTGTCAAATTATTCTAATGATTATTTTTAGCTGACTCTGTCATGGAATATAATGATAGGTTTATATTCAATAACGCCCTCTCATGTTGGTGTTAGGGAGGTCCAAAAAGTTCTTCGAAATTAGCAAATAGGCGCTCTGAAAACATTGAGAAACCCCTTATTCAATCACAATTCAATAGTAGTTTTGCCGGAATCACCAAGAAAGTGACAAGTCACATGTCACATTTCTGATTGAATGATTACTTATAACGCTACTATGTTTAGGAGCGTTACAGAAGCCCAAAGCCATCTAAAATACTAGAAATACCCTAGATTTTCTGTACATAAACCGAATTTGGGGTAAAGCGTTTCTTCCATATTTCGCGCATTTTCTCTCGTGTTTAAGTTGCTGTGTAGATTTAGCCTGAGGTTACTAGAGAGCTCAGGAAACCGAATCTAGAGTGTTTAGCTTTTGAATATGTGTGAGCTAATAATATCTCATTTATACAACCGAAATACAACCCAGTGAAATTCCTGAATGGATGGCTACGATTCTAAGGATGTATATTCACTGAGATAACACACAAATAAATAACTAACATGAGAACTGTCTACCCACTCGGAGTATTTTAAGTCTCAGTGATTTATAGGAATGTCAGAGGAAAACATATGGTCTGTAATTATACAGAGAACTATTATTTAGCAAAGAACTATCACTAACTAGATACATTTTTAACCAATCTGAAAATATAACAGAAATATGATTAAATACTTTGTGCTGATTGATTTAATAGGACTCTAAATTTTCCAATGAGATTATTTAGAACAAGTAGCAATATGAACTAAAATTTGAAACTCATCGACTGACTTTATAAGCAAAGACGAATAGTGGCTAACAGTGGAATCCAGGACGCGCGTTTCGTCCTATTTGTAGCTCGTCGGCTGGATGTAACTGCCTCCCAGTTACAAACAAATAATACCAAGTGAATCAATGACTGAAATGTAGAATGTTTATACAAATGTCGTTAGTTCAAATCAACTAATTATATTTAAGGGATACGAAGAATCCGTTTTTCACACTGATGGTTTCACTTTTCAATAAAATAAAACGGTCATCATTGACATTGAAAGCATTCATTGATTCATGTAAGAGTTGTTACAATCCTTGATGGCTAAACAGTGTGTATTCCAATTTGTATAATGATAGTCATATATTCAAAGATGGATAGTGGCTAGCAATGGAATCCAGAACGCGCGTTTCGTCCTATTTGGGACTCGTCTGCTGGATGTACCTGCATCTCAGAGTTGATGTTCACTTTGGGACTCAAACCCAGTACCTCAATGGGAAGATACAACCAAAACAATACCAAGTGAATTTCAATTCACTCCATTGCACAAGCAAGTGGCTATCAGGACTCAGTAGCTGAGTGGATAACGCAATGGCGTTCGAAGCGTATGGTACTGTGTTCGAGTCCCAGAGTGAACATCAACTCTGAGATGCAGGTACATCCAGCTGACGAGTCCCGAACGGGACGAAACGCGCGTCAAACTAAATTCCACTGCTAGCCACTATCCATCATTGCTTACAAAAAGCATGTGAATTAAGGCAATATCGAAGCAATAAGCACAGTATGCACATATGCCAATAACAGACTGATCAATTGCAGTCCTAAACCTAAATGGGAAGATACAAGCCAAACAATACCAAGTGAGTAATCATATACTGTTTCATAATCATTTTTGTCAATTTCAGCTGCGAAACAAACTTTTGATTATTTTTAATTCAATTTAGATTATTAAAACTTCTCATTTGGAGAATCTTTACAATCAAATGAATGTAAGCCAATGTTTAGCTCAAACTACTTTCAAACAATGGAAGAAGCTTAAAGAAGAAAAACATAAAATAGAACTACACTCAGAATGTATTCGTTTAAATAAAGCTAATAAAATGCATCATAACTTATGGAAATATGATATACCTGATATATTGAAGGTAATTCGTTCTAATAATCTTTAATTATTTCATTAATTTAACACTCACCTATCAACTATACTTCATTCATATAAGAATTAATGGCAAACACAATTTAGCTGTTCATGTTGAAGTTCATAGAGCGATGTTCAAACAAATAACGTTCTTGCTCGAAAACATTAAATCACCAATTCACATTTGTAATTAACCATAGCTGTATGTTACCATATGCCAAGTATAGCAAAAGCATAAGATCCTGGATGAAAACACAATTTTAAGGGAAGTTAGGAGTTAAAATAAAATCTATACTCCAATATGAACATGTCTATCAAACGAACGGAAAAGTGATCAGTATGGTACTGTTACAGTGAACGAGAACACAAGTGGGTACAATCTAATGTAAATACTTACTTACTTACACCTGTTACTCCCAATGGAGCATAGGCAGCCGACAAACATTCTCCAACGCAACCTAAGGTATTTGGATACAAAACTACGGAGTATCTTAGTAAACTCTGAGAATCATACAGTAAACTCCTCATTTGCAAAATGTCGATCTTCTTAACCTTCTGCCACTAGGCATTTCACTTTCATTTATGTTATATACTACTCATATCTGTCAACATCAGCAGCATACACCACAATGTATCTGAAAATAAAATTGACTTCAGATAACTTCAACCTTCATGTAAATTCTAGTTTCAGTTCAGGTTAATTAGCCCAGTGGTAACGTCTCCGATTGTGAAGCTGGTTGACACAGGATCGAATCCGTCAGGGAGCATCAATTCCCTCAAGATTACAGGTACACCTTGCTGACGAGTGCCAAATAGCACAAAACCCTTATCCAGCGTTTCCTGTTGACTACCTCCAATCACCATCTAATCTCAACATAGTGCACGCAATGTCGAGTTACCTAGACTACTGGCCACAATGCAACTTGGCCGATAGTATTCGATTTGCACTAAGAAGAACTTAACACACATGACATTGATCACCACCTAGTGATCAATCAATTGTGATTAACTTTGATTCATCATTCTGAAACTACAAAAAGTATGCTTGAATCTCTCATTAAAAATACACATTTTCTTGCACTATTAGAGAATTGAACTTGACGTAAATGACTTTGAGAATGCTATGAAAAATATTGATAAAAGATTAAAAATTGATAGTGGAAATTTCAAAATAAGAGATGTAAGTCTATGTTTTTATTTGATTCTTTTTTTGTTTATCATTGAATGTTAGCGGGCTATTTAATATCAAAACACTACTTATATTGAAGGAGTCTGATGTAAATCATCTATCAGTTGGACATAAACATAAAGTATGAGTTATTTGTATCGCAAAGAGTTTCGTGAATATTATAGAAATTTTAATAGTTAAGATGGTGAGTCAATTGAAACTAGACCACCATGGAAAACCTGGGAGCACTGGACAGCCGTTTCGTCCTATCGTGGGACTCCTCAGCAGTGCGCATCCATGATCCCACCCCCGTCGAGATTCGAACACAGGATCTATCAGTCTCGCGCGCGAGCACTTAACCTCTAGGCCACTGAGCCGGTGTCCAAAGGTGTTAATGTCCAACTTCAACCAACCACGAGATTCAGTGACACATCCACAATTGTCTTCAGTGAGTTACTATCTCACAACAGTTATTTTTGAGTAGTTTCTGCTTGTGAATCATTAGAGAAATGGAAACATATCCACTGTATTATCTACAACTATGACTGGGATAAATGATAGAACCTTCTACTTTTAATATGAAGATCAAAGGTTATAAGTTTAGATCAAGAAACTATAACTGTATTACAATAGGAACTTAATTTTCATTGCATGTTGACATATCAACTAGAGAACTATTGAATTTATCACAGATCAGTAAGTAGTTATTCTTTTATAGACTTCTCAAGAGTGTATACTAATGACTTTCATTCATTGAGTGTTTAGAATTATCATGATCTTTGAGAAGGTTAAATGTTCGATGTTCTTTTATATGTTAGTTTTCGGATATACACGGTTGAGAAGTCTTAAACTTGAATAATAAATTACTCAGAAGTTTAGCCTAGTTCATGACTGAAACCGTCTTCATTCTACAAGAATGATTTTACATATTTAGTAGAATGATCCAGAACGTTCGTTTCTTTCTATTAGAAATTCACCAGTTAGATACACATTCTTTCTAGAGTTGATAATTACACTGAAATTCACATACTGATACCACATTCCAAATGTCTAGAAACTTTAAACTTAAGACAGTATCAAAACACCCTCTCAGAAAGTTTATATCCTTAATTAGATGGATCATATGCATTCTTGAATGTTACAATCAATTATGAAAGTGTTTGTTGAAAAGTGCCTATTATAAATGTATCTAGATTTACTTTTACCAAATACTACCACACTTGGTATTGTTTGGCTTGTATCTTCCCATTGAGGTTTAAGACTGCAGTTGATCAGTCTGTTATTGGCATATGTGCGTACTGTGCGTATACCTCGATATTGCCTTAATTCACAAGCTTTTATAAGCAATGATGGATAGTGGCTAGCAGTGGCAATCCAGTTTGACGCGCGTCTCGTCCTATTCGGGGACGAAACGCGCGTCCTGGATTCCACTGCTAGCCGCTATCCATCATTGCTTACAAATACTACCACAGTGTGATAAATGAATAGTTCAAATCAATAAAAGAAATAATAATTTGTGTAACTAACCAAAAATTTTCCATTTACTGAGACATCGTCTCTTCTGATCTTATTCACTCTTTAAGTTCAATGATTTCACTGTTTGAACTTAAATGTTTTGAACCAAAAATGTTCAATTTACAATATGTAAATCCATTTGAATTGTGAATCTTTTCAATCATTTTAACAATAACTTATTGATATTCTATTCAGATTTTAGAAATATTTACCGGTTGGTATTTAGATATCAATTTATTTATTGTATTGGCTGCTTTAGCTGAAAAATTTGACGGTTTAGAGTAAGTTTTATTATTAACCATTATGTTTAGTGGAATCCTTTTCATTTGTACGTTGTATATTTACGACCCTATCATAGATCAAACCTAAGACCAGTGTTCCATGAAAATATTCCAAGTTCAACCAGTTTTGATTAGAGTATCATAAGTGGGCAATACTGAGTAATCTCATACTACGATGGTATGTGATTATTCATCTGAAATTAAGTTTTGACAAATCTAATCTAAAATTAAATCAATTGGCACAAAGCTCCTTCAATTGTTTAAGAGACTATAGTTTGTGATAAAGGCAGTAGGCGGAAAATATTATTACTTGCCTTAATGAGATGGTAAAGATTTGTAGTTCAGGTGAAGTTTAGTTCGCTGAGCTGGATCGTTATGTCATGGATCTTTCATGATTCTTCTGAATAACAACATCAACACAAACTTCAAGTAGAAGTGAAGTATTCGAATTTCTCTACTTAGTTCAGAATTAATTTGATTGAAAATGACTAGAGAATGAATGTGTTGCTCGCCTTGATCAAACAGAGTTATATTTAGTATATTTGAACTTCTGGCGGAGTTTTGTTCGCTGAGCTGGGTGGTTTGCTCGTGGAGCTTACATCGTTCTTCTGAACGACATCATCCGCAGCACAAACTTCAGGTAGAAGTGAAGTGTTCGAATTTCTCTATATGCGTTTTACAGCTTGTTCTGTACACCTCGACGTTAATTGGCTCTTACTGACCTTAAATTTGTCATTTTCTACTTCTTTTTCTGGTTGTGGTTTGATTTTTGTTCCTGTATTTGGAATTTGGAATTTGAACTTCTTATTTCGACACTTAGAAAAAGGTAAATAAAATGAAGAAGGAAATTTCTTTTCAGTTCGTTTCTCATCATGAAATTACACTGATATCTAATAATAAAATATGAAGTCAGTACAAACTAAGCGATAATGTGTCAAATCATCTGTGTTTAACTTGTCAAAGACCAATTAAATTTGATTGTTTCATACATCTTCATTTGATCGATGCCCGACATTATTTAGACACAGATGAATCATCTTAAGTGATCAAATGAATCCTACCAAATGTTCCATACGGTTTATGTAAACTTCTCTACATGGGGTTGAAGTCACCGATATCCATTTTAACATACTAGATATCTGTATTCTTAGGATACTTGTTCAGCTGTTCACTTGGATACTGATGTAGCCGGTACTAGAGTGAATTTCAAATATCTTGTTGTTCATTATCTTCTATTTTATTTAGATTTCCAAAAAGTTGTGTTTCATTAAAAATTTGACAGACCAATTGTGATTAAGTTAATGTGGTTATATCTAGCTCTCATCAAAAATGAAATCTACATTGGTTAAAGAACCATTTAAAAATTGAGAACCTTAGATAGATATTTCATTCTTACATGGAACTAATTAGCAATGTTTACATATTATATTCTAAAAGTTGAGCCCATAACCATTAGGCCCCACAACCATTGAGCTATAATTCAATAATTAACAATCCCAACTTCGGTGCATTTCTATAGGCTTTTGATAATTTGAAGGTAATTAATTCAAAAGTCTACATACAATGTGATTATAGAGATACTTAATTGCATACATATATTTGACCTACTTTTCTAGTCGTTAAATAAAACATATCTGCATATTACCAGAAAGTGGGTTTTGTGGATATTGTAATAATTGAATAGTTAAATTCATGAGTCAATTAAAGTGGAGTTCAACCAGGTCTGTTGTGAGATAGGAACTCACTGAAGACAATCCAACTTCGTGGATTGGTTGAAGTTAGACATTAACACCGCTGGATGCCGGCCGGCTCAGTGGTCTAGTTGGTTAAGTGCTTACGGGCGAGACTGATAGGTCCTGGGTTCGAATCTCGTAATGGGGGTGGCGGGATCGTGGATGTGCACTGCTGAGGAGTCCCATACTAGGACGAAACGGTTGTCCAATGCTTCCAGGTTTTCCATGGTCGTCTAGTTTCAATCGACTCATGATTTCAACCAGTGAAATTTCTAAAAAAATCCCCACAAAACCCATTCTGATAATAAAGCACTGGACGACCGCTTCGTCCTAGTATGGAACTCCTCGCCATATCTGTACATGATTTTTTTTTACAAAGTATCAAATATACTTGAAGATTTATTTACAGAAACCCAGTTTATTCCATGCACAAATCAATTTGTTGCGAGTAGTAGTAAACCACATGTTAGTTAAGATAATACTAATTAGCTGGTACTTAGTTGGGTTACATTATGCGATTTTCTTTCTCTTATTTTCTAGGTTGATTGTTCCTTACAAACATCAAGTTATCGAAATGCACATAATATCATTACGTTTAACATTCATTTCTACATCTTATTGTATACCATTGATCATAATAAAGCACTTTTGATAAGTAAACAGAAAAAAAAGATATGAATTAGAATAAGCTGCATAAACAGACAAACAATATTGATTTCATTTGCATCTTCATTAGGCTTCACATTTGCATATGGTAATACTTTTGTAAAGTACGTAAACCAGTCATGACAATTTATAAGTCGATCAAAGCTAAACCACCATTAAAAATCTGGAAGCCGTAACTAGTGAAGTCCAATCTATGTCGGGTAGAGATAGGTATCTACCTCAGACAATTGATAAATGGTTATGAAGATCATAGATCGATTGAAGTTAGTCATTAACATAGTTGGATCCTGGCTCAGTGATTTAAAGGTCAAGTGTTCGCGAGATGGAAGGTTCTAAATTCGAGTTCCGTATACGGACCCGTAGATATGCACTTCTGGAGAGTCCCATACTAGGACAAAATGACCGTCCAATGTTTCCAGACTTTCAGTTGTGGTTCGGCTTAAATCGACTCATAAACTCAACTATTAAAAATCACTACAATCTCCACGAACCCCTATTCTAATTTATGAATCGATAATAACAATGAACTGAAATGCATACTAAATCACAATAAGTAAAAAAAATACAAATAAGGTGACTGTAGAACACTCTTAAATTATAATTGATGTCCTTATATCTAACCACATAAGTGGTTGAAAATTCAAGAGGAAACAACACCACTCAAGGTTATCCATCGATTAGGTTAAGTGATTTTTCTGTGTTAGCTTGTTCATAATTCAGTTAATGAGCTATAATTTCTGAGGACGATTTTCTTTTTCATCATCCACAGATGAAAGGATGTGGACTGTAACCATTACGTAGTTTTCACACTTATCGTTGGCTTGTTCTTATAGTTCAGTTTTCTTGGTGTTACAGTAATAGTGATAAGTATGATATGAATGACATAAATAAATATTTCAGTACAGTAAGTATTGGGAGCTTTCGATAACTGCCTTAAAATGTCTTCAATACTTAAGAAAATCCATATGACTAGTCAGTTCAGAAACTTGAAATAACATTTAGAAAACAACTGTAAACGTTTTTATTATCTTTATTGAACAAATGCATGTTTTCCAGAACTTTCTTGAATCTTATATCCACATAGCCTTATAAGTAACCTTTCTTTCTGCACACGAACTAACCTTCAAATGAAAACTTATAAAATTCTCACCTTTCGAATTTATGTTCGGGCTTCCAGGTAACAAGTCATCTAAGAACTAGAAAGCAGTTAGAAAGTAGCTGTTTAGCCACTCAAGTACCAGATGTATTAATAAGTAGGTCGAAACTTGGCAAAACAATAATCATTAACACTAATAAATACTTAATGTATAAATTCCCAGCTTAAATATATGAGCAGTCAATGGGAGATATAAAAGAGATAAGGAAAAGGAAAACCAAGCTTATGAACATGCAGTAAAATCGTCGATTAATTTTCTCCTGTCAAGAAAAGTACTAGTGTCAGTGACTCAGATTACCGTAGCTTCTGATTTATGTGAGAGACAATATCAAACCCATTTGGGATAATGTGAAATGTATGAGGTAGAACATTAGAAAATTTTTAGTGTCATTGACCCTACAACCACTATCGATCAAGTGTGATAAGTAACAACTACATATCGGCTTTGTTTGACCCTTTTTCATGTTGAATCTTACTAGTTACGTTACCTGGTAGTACAGCGATTATAGTCTTATTCATAGGTATTATCAGTAGGAATCAGCACAAATTTCGACCATCCCCATTTGCAGGATTTCAGAAGTGGAATAAACATAAATTATAAACTTCGTTTGATTTTCATAAATCTCAGCGCTCAAATAAATATCAAACAAATCAAACATCATCCAAATAGGACGAAACGCGCGTCAAACTGGATTCCACTGCTAGCCACTATCTATCATTGCTTACAAAAAGCTTGTGAATTAAGGCAATATCGAAGCGATAAGCACAGTATGCACATATGCCAATAACAGACTGATCAATTGCAGTCTTAAACCACAATGGGAAGATTCAAGAAAACCAACAACAAGTGAATTCATTTATTTATATCCATTTTAGTTAGCACTAATATTCCATTTAACAAAGCTCTCATTTCATTACCTCTGAACATTCAAGTTTCGTGTTTTTTTTTCTTAAAAAAATTATTTGTAGATCCATTCTTGGCAATAATGTGCATAAAATTGGTACACAGTCACTGTGTTTGAAAATAAGGAAAGCAAGAGTAAGTGTCGTTCTAAATGATAAAAAATGTATCCTATTTATATATCACAAACATTCTTATATATTCCCAATCTCTTTATTTTGGGGAAGCGACTATAAAACATTTTTGGGGAAATGGAACAAAAATCCCGAAATTTCCCTTGATCTGAAGAAATCTCAACAGTTTTGAGGAAGATCACTGAACTTTGGGGATAATCCCAAAATGCCCCCCCCCAAATAGGGAGATTGGATTTATAAGATACTTTAAATTGTAAAAGTGAGTGTTATTGATTAAAGCGTTTATGTAATATGAGTTATTAATTAATCTGCCTAAATGATTATAAAACACAAGTGGGTACAATTGTGAATGTATTTTGGATATAAAATTACAGAATGCCTTAGTCAAATCTGAGAATCATACAGTAAACTCATCATTTGCATAGTATTAGTCAACTGTCTCAAGTTTGACTGTTTCTTTTGCAGATATCTGTCAGACAGTCGTCTCGTTCTCTTTTCTTTAGTGTTCTTAACCTTCTGCCATTAGATATGGAAGTTTTAATGACTGAGCTTTTATTATACATCTAAGCAACATAAACATCAGTATTATAAAGTTTAACAAGAAATGACATGATAAAATTTATCAATCAATGACTGACAATTTGATCTGTCGACATAAAATCTGATTATTTTGTTTCCAGTTATAGTGACTCCATTGTTTTAACATTCATTTTGTTTGTGCTATTTTCTGGCCGACTGGTTGTTGAAAACTATTCCTTCTGACTGACAGATTGAGCTTTTATTAAATATGCACCTATTTTACCGCTGATCAACCCGAATTCTAAGAAAAACTTCTATATTCTTTACCTTATTTACATCTGAGATTCCAAGTTTTTCTTAATTGAGTTCGCATCCTTACTTGTTTATATTGTGATATTTTGTCATATTTAACAGCTATTTGCTTTGCATTCAAATAAGGACAAAATTGAAGCCAGCATTTCAGGCGTACTGTTTTTCCTGATTGTAATGTTCAGCTGGTTTTCTTTGATGATTGCCTTTTGTACTGAATTAAAATGTTTGTCTGATTTTCCCTACCTTGTGAACTACACTAACTCACAATGATTCCGGTAAACTGGCTGAAAATTCTCGTACATATTTCTATATTTGGTAGGATAATCCATTTAGTTTTTTCACTCAATGAATAAACATTATTGTAAAGGGAAACTCTGAAAGCCGGACTATTTAACCATGCATCTAGGATAACGAACAGAACATCTAATAGCTTGGAATGCTTTTTCATCTTGATATATGAGAAATAATCAACCTTGTCCTCTGAGAGACAAAGGGAATATTAACTCCCACTATCTATATGCAATCACTGAACGTGGAATATAGTATATCATATTGTCACTTTATTTACTTCATTGACAGTCATGGATTTTTTATTCGATAAAATTCTAACATCCTCTATGAAATAGGTCAAGATATATTAAACTAAAATTATTTAACATTATTCCAACCGTTCTATTTTTAGAACTACACATATTACTTACAACATATCAGTAGTAACAAAAATACATTTCAATAGTTGAAATCATGAGTCAATTGAAACCGTGATCAGTGGAGTTCAACGAGGTCTGTTGTGAAATATCAGCTCACTGAAGACAATGAAGTACGATGGCGCAATGTTTTGGATTAGTTGAAGTTAAAAAAATTAGCACCGTTTGATGCCGGCCAGCTCAGTGGTATAGTGGTTAAGCTCTCGCGCTCGAAACTGATAGTTCCTGGGTTCGAATCTCGCGGAGGGGGTTGGCGGGATCGTGGATCAGCAATGCTGAGGAGTCCCATACTAGGACGAAACGGCTGTCCAGTGCTTCTAAGTCTCCCATGGTGGTCTGGCTTCAATTGACTCATGATCTCAACAAATGAAATTACTACAATCTCCATAAAACCCCCTCTGATACTAATCAACATATGCTCACTAGTGACTGGCTTCAAGATATATATCCTTGAGTTCTAGGGACAAGTAGTGACCAGTGGAGTTCAACCGGGTCAGTTGTGAGGTAGTAACTCACTGATGACAATGGTGGATGTGTCGCTCAATGTCGTGGATTAGTTAAAGTTAGACATGAACACCATTGGATTCCTACTCAGTAGTCTAGTTGGTTCAGAGCATGGCGCGAGACTGATAGTTCCTGGGTTCGAATCTCGCGGGGGGTGGGTGTGATCGGGGATGCCCACTGCTTAGGAGTCCCATACTGAAACAGAACGGCTGTCCAATGCTTCCAAGTTTCTCATGGTGGTCTAGCTTCAATTGACTCATGATCTCAATCAATGAAATTACTGAACTCTCCATAAAATCCCTTCTGATAAAAATACATTCATTTATTATTATTTTTTTACATTTCCATAGGAATTATTCATATTAATCGGTGGATTAGACAGAAAACAATATTTTCAACTATCTTATATTTTTCAACCAATTATCAAACTAAACAGTGATAAAGTAACCAATGATACAACCATAGTTAATAGGGATCTATCTTCAATGGATTCTTATCATAAACCATTTGGACATATTGAAATGAAAGATTTAATGGTCTTCTTTCATGCTGCTAATCTATCACAAATTCATGTACAACAATTAATTACATATTTAGATAATAAAAACAATGGTACCATTGATTTTGTTACATTTTTAGAATATCTTCCTTTATTTGTTGAATCACATCAACACATTATATATAATCCAAATTTAAATAATAAAAATATATTCAATATATAGAAATAGTTGTGTTTAGATGATGATGATGAAGGGTTCGATGAAGGACTTGTGTGAGTTTAGTTGTCATTGATGGATTGTAGTTAGAGTACCATTGAAAACTATTGGATATCAGATATATGTTTCACTTCATATATTAATAACTTTCAGCATTAATGATCCATCCAACGATCGAGTACAGAATATTTCATATTTCCTGCTGTGGGGCCCCTTTATTTTGTCGTCATTAATATCGGACGATGTTATCGAAAGGGCTCTCCACAAAAAGTGGCCCATTGGTCTGACTCCAATTAGATCGTAATGAATGTTTGTTATCGCCTATCCACGTATATAATTATCGACTTAAATCGAGTTAGTCAATAACGGAATTAAATAAGTCAAATAAAAAGAATGGACTTTTGAATATATATTTTGTATATAAAATGAATGGAGTAGAGAGAAGAGAAACAACGCAGAGTGGAGATGGCGAGTAAGTCAACTCCTCTTTAACCAAACATGAATCAATATTTATACTTACACAAAAATAAGTTACGGACATGCGATGAGTAATGGGATAAGAAGTGTACACACACCTACGCGCTCATATAAAAACAGTGAAGATTGATAAGCGAATAATTAACAAGGTCAGAATGTGACTCAAGTGGAATGAATAGAATGGGCTGTCCGAACGCTAGAATAAGGTATATGGGCTTAACATCATAACCGACACTACACTGCGTTCAATTAGCCATGTAGATTGCCCTGGGGATTACTAGAGAGCTTATGGGACCGAATCTAGCATTCGGATAGAAGATTCATCAATGGTGTGTTTAACTTAAAGAAATTCACAACACTGTTTGAATAAAATTTCAGATGGTATAAGCCGAAGAGCAAAGCTTTTTTATCCGAAACAACCAATCCTAATGAGTAGATATTAAATATCACAAAAGTGATATATCATCTACTTTATAGCTCTCATGTAATTCTAAATAGACCTGACCAACTGAGATAACATATGATTATTAAGCCATTTTTATCTTCTTAATAGTTATATCTCTGCTGTGTGCTACTTAGATTGACATATGTAGTATATGATGTTAGTCATGAACAGGTCTGACAGAAGAGAGACAAGTAGATCGAACAGTAAAGAATGGAAACAAGATACAATTTGTATGAAAATGCAAGAGCAATGAAGTCTGAGTCATTTCGAGACAATTGGTGGACATTTTGCAAATTAAGCATTTATTTTATGATTGTTAGATTTTATTAAGATGTCCCCATCGAAGCTCTGGTCACTACATGTCTTCTTTGGAGACAGTTGTGACTTTCAATACATTAAGTTTATTGAGTTTATACTCATATCTTATGAATGTTGTGTAATACACAGTTTTATCAAACTTTAATAGTATTCTACCAATAGCAAACAAGCTTGATTTGTATGACTTACAGTAACTATCATTCCAGGTCTAAAGAATGTCCGTCTTTACTGATTTGCTCTATCGGTGTCCTGATTTCATGGAAAACGGTGCGTAGTTTTGAAAGCGTTTTTCGCACAATATGTTTAATAATGATTAATTTCAGCTTATCTGTACTTCTTTGAATAAGTTATAAGTTTTAGGCTTTCAATCATTCCAAGTTCTCGGAGTGCTAAGTGAAAGTTGTAGAAAAACATTGAAAGTGAGACATCGATTGCTAGTAAAGATCTAGCTTAAAAACGTTTGCAGTCTGAAATCATCCGTGCAGGGATAGGTGGATTGCATTTCAATTTCCAAATTTCAGATTACATCCTAGATCCAAGCCTTCACGTGGGAACAATACTTCTGAACTAAGGATACACTGATTAAGATATAGTCTGGTAGCACTGGTTGTGAAATCCTTAACTTATGGCTATGTTACTTGTTAGTAATCAGGGTTATCCTGTTTCTTAGACTCGCATTGGTTAACTTGATTATCAACAAGCTGAATACACTCTTACTGGTTAAAAAAATTTTACATGGACAGCCATTTTGAACTCATTATTTTTACGTTTGACGGTTGTTGTTGCTGTTGTATTATCACCTTGAATGTACGCTTAAATCCAACTACTTATGATTTATCATAGAACCATATATATATATTAATAATACATACTAATATACAAATATTTCCGAATAATCAAGACAGTCTTATGACTTGAACAGACCTCGGGTGCATTATTCAAATGAATCCAACCGTAATTCTTCTGAGTTAGACAAGTTGTTTCAAGTATCTTCAACGAAGTTACCCAAATCCAAACGAAGAATAAAGAGTGGATGGTTGACGAGACGAATATATTTGATTATAGGTAACGATACCGCAACGTGAGATTTTATCAATGGGGCTAGTTAAAGTGTTAGAAAAGTCTCACCATAAGTCAAGACGTTATATGATGTAGAAAATTGATCAGGTATCTTTATCCATTACAGTCAATCATAATTAAATAGGTTCAACAAAACCGTTTATTTTAAGGAGTCATTTATCACTACACACCCATCTGTTATGTGGCCAAAGAATTCTTATTTATCTTAAGTACACTTAAGTTTCAACTTTCAAAATAGTTTCCAATTTGCCTTGAAAATGCTTTCTAAACACCAATGAATAAACGTTTCTAATCCTCACCCTCATTTTAGTAGATAGTTTAAAATAGAATATCTAAGAGGTTACATCCATATCTGTTATGTCCTTGATCTCTCTACTCACTTTTGGTGCTGAGGATAACCTGTCTAATCTAGATTAAGACCTTGACGTAATAAGCTGACCGGCTTAACTTTAAGGCTAGTATGCGTGAGTTCGAAGTGGGGTAGAGAGAAGAAAACAATTCTATCACCTGACAAGCACGCGAGTAAGAGAATACAAGTCAACTGGAACATTACTCGATTTATTCCCAATTCCGATTTGGTTCCCGATTTCTCGATTTCAGATCAGCGTAAAAAGATACATGAATAAATAGATGACTAACCTGACCACAACGTACAATAATTAAGAAAATACAATTATGTCCGAAACTGGGGATTAGTGTAGAAAATTGGCGTACAAAATACTATGTTTAAATTACAATAGCTTTGGAACAAAAAGAGCTATGACAATGAATCATACATTAAACGAAAGCTTATGTTCTGTAAGATAGACTAGGGACAAAATAAATGTTATTGTTTTACAAGTTTGGAATTAAATGAAATAACGTCCTTCCCCCCCCCCAAAGATAGCTTCCGTAGTTTGTCAAGACTTCTTGTTTCTCTGTTCACATCAATATCAAACGAATATACAATAATATCTCATATAATTTTCGATGTCTAATAATCTCTGTAGAGTGATAAAATCCATTAGTGATAGCTTGAAAACGTTCTCATCATTACCATTGGAAATTCATACTGTTATTGTTTTGTATTTTTTTGTTTTTATAAAATAGAATGATTTTTATTAGTAACATAATTAACTTAGCAACAAACTAAAGATAATTATGTTCACTTTTATTGATTTTCTATGAACTACATTCCAGGTTAAATATACTTCATAAATAATTGATTATATTGTTGAATTTTGTCACCTGAAAGTTTGTCTAAACAAAAGGTCTAAAAGATGAAAAATCTGTATTCAATAATTTATTTTTATGAATAAAAAATATTATCAGAAGGGGTTTTGTGGAGATTTTTAGTAATTTTCAATGGTTTAAATCATGAGTCAATTGGAGCTAGACCACCATGAGAAACCTGGAAGCACTGGACGGTTGTTTGGTTCTAGTCTGGGACTCCTCAGCAGTGTGCATTCACGATAGACATGTTAGACATTAACACCGTTGGATACCGGCTCAGTGGTTTAATCGTTAAGCTCTCGCGCGCGAGACTGGTAGGTCCTTGGTTTGACTCTCGGGGGGAAAGGGGTGCTGGATGCGCACTGTTGGGGAGTCCCACACTAGGACAAAAAATATTGTAAAATATGAATATGATTATTTGAATAAGTCAACTGTAATGAATTATTAAAGGATATATGAATGACTAAATTCACAGCAGATAGATGACTATCTATCATATTGAGTGATAATTAATAAGGATGTGTAGAAATTAGTCTTCAGGTATTGATCTAGATTAGAAAGCTCCCATTTTTATTATGCCTCAAAGTTTAATGACTAGGTTGATCCTGTCATTATGAACCATGTAGCATTGAATCAAGTCATTTTCAAGAATTTATAAAGATGGATATTTCAAATGACCATCCTAATGAATGAAGTAACAGCGAGGCGAACCTAACAACAGATAATTCAGAATAGTCAGAATGTGTGTGCTTCATCAAAAAACCTGATAATAAAGTACAGTGTATATTGTTCACGTATCCGATTGAAGGTTTAGTCCCTTATAAATCTTGAAACTAATTATAATAAAGATAAGCCATCAATCATTCATATGACGTAATGAATGTTATCTGTCTAGTGAAATATTCAAAGGTACACAAAATGAAACTACTACGAACACAATACTGAATAGTTTATATATATTCGATTAGGTGTTCAAGCATAGAACTTCTAACTGCTTTCCTTTCACCCTTATAGAACCAAGCTGGGATATGTTCCCGTATCCAAGTTGAAAGTGAGCGCTGGCTATGGCAAATGTACCTTGCTCCACAAGAACAGGGGAACTAGTAGATGCATATATATATATATATATATATATATATATAGAGAGAGAGAGAGAGAGAGAGAGAGAAACTGATCAATTGCAGACCCAAAGATTAGTGGGATGATTAAAACAAAAAATACAAGATGAACTAAAACTTCACCTCATTGCATAAGATAATGGCTGTCAGGACTAAGTAGCTAAGTGGATAACGTGATGACGTTTGAAGCGAGTCGGGGTGTGAACATGAACTCTGAGATACAGGCACATCCAGCTGACGAGTCCAAAATAGGGCGAAACGCGTGCCCTGGATTCCAGTGCTAACCATCAACCATATTTGCTTATAATGCTTGTGACCTAGTTTACTATCCTAGTTTTCTTAATTTGTTTTAACCAGTTCAAAGTGTTTATGTCAAAACTATACTGAGTATAATTTGACCTCGACTGTAAAATTACTAAGAAATAAGGAAAACACTGAATAGCTATTTTGTAGCGGTTGTGCTTCGTCGATCAATCACCCTCGTAACCGTTATCATATAATCCTCAACGGTGTTTGGAATCAGAAGGCAAAGAGAAGCAGCGACTACAGTTTTATTAGCAGATAACTCAGACCACAAAGCCGGGAGGCAAATGAGTGAGTCAGCGAACCGAGAGGTAGTAGAGTGTTAAATGTACGTATATATATATGTAGGGAAATGAATGGATCATCGAATCAATTAAGCAGCTAATAATAAAGCTAGCAGAATGAATATATGCGTATGCGGTAAGCAATGTTCAAGCATAATATTTCATACAAACATAACAATAATAAAGGTACAATAAGTTGTTATAGTAAGGATGACTTTGTCCTCTAAATAAGTTAACAAAAGGGCTTAACTGAGTTAAATGAGAACAAACTTCATTGCACGTGAGTCGTTATAGCTTTATCCAAGTTTGAAACTCCTTAATAGTATCCGCTCGAAATTTCACACATCATCTGGTCAATATTATCATTAGAACTTGTTACAAGAAAGATACGTTGAAGCATCTGAATTAAAATTTAGTACTTCAGTCAAGTTACAATCAAACACTATCTTCATATAACTTCATCGATGAGTTATTGTTGTTTGATTACATAACGTTCTCTTCTTTTCTTCATCTTGGAGAAAAAAAGTTTCACTGTTTAGACATTTGAATCGCTATCCAGCTCAGAGAACAAAACCCCATGAAACAATTTGTTGAATCTCTTTGGTAAAACTTACTAGTATTGTGTAATACATGTGTCGAACATGCGAATTAATTTTGTTATTCTGTTTCTTGATAATGTCTGTTTATAGAAAAAAAGTAAAAAAAGACAACTTGATAATATTTCTCAGCCAAGTTTGCTTACGAACTATAATGAGATTAAGGATGTGTGTTTTGTATTATTTAGGACTCCCCAGTTGAATGTGACTGGATTATGCTGTTGATATTCACAAGGAGACTTGAAGTTATTGTCTCTCTATTCGAATGTTCAATGTGTTTTCCATTGAGCGAATAAGTTCACATAGTCATCATTTTGTTCAAGCGAGATGAATTTTAAATAACTTGTAAAAACTTGAATCATTCCGTTATTGTTGCTAAGGTCTCCAGTTGATCAGTCTTTTTTCAGCACATATGCATCCTGAGGGGATTGTCTTCATTTAAACGTTAAGTCAAAAGCACTTTTAAGCAAAGTTGAATTGTGGTTAGCTTGTAACTTAATGGTGATGTGACTACATTCCGTTTAGAATCCACATGCGCCAAAACAACAGTGATCAATTGAATCTTCTAACATTAACAAACATAAGATTCCTACCTTTACAAATTACCCTTATATATAAAAATCATTAAAACCTTCTGCGAAAACTGCTGACTTTGGATGATTCATTACTATTAGTGAAATTTGTCTTATGGTTGTTAGGGTTAAACTCCATTTGCTGTAGATTCTCTTAAAAACTCGTCCATCTTATAAATAAATCCATATTTCACAACTTACAATCAATTGGTCTTTGAGCAGTTGTGATGAACGTTACGTTTGTCTAATCATTTTAGTTTCAAATGAGTTATATCGAGTAAGTTACAATGAAGTTACTAGTGTAAGTCACTAACATTGCGTGAATTCTGATGAGATTTTAAATACCGATAGGTAATTTGTAGGGTTAAATATCCGTTGGTCGGATACCATCAGCAACAGCCTATTGTGGGAGTGAACAAACCAGCTTCCAGCTGAAGAGGAAATTAGGAAAAGACGATGGAAATGGATAGGAAATACATTGTGAAAATCACCAAATTGCATCACGAAGCAAGCACTAATTTGGAATCCTGAAGAGAAACGGAAATGAGGAAGGCCTAATAACACATTACGTCGGGAAATAGAAGCAGATATGAAAGGATGAATAATAACTAGAAAGAACTGTGAAGGATTGCCCAGGACAGGGTTAGATGTAAAGAGTGCTGGTGAGTGGCCTATGCTCCTCCACGAGGAGTAAAAGGAGTAAGTAACTAAGTAACGTAATATTTAGTTACGTGTTTTGAGTATAACTCTGAAACAGTTCAGGGACATACGAGGAGAATTCATCTGTCGGCAAAACTAATTCAACATTGCTAATCACATAATATTATAATGTAAACAATCAACATTAATGTCACAAAAAGTAATACAAAAGATCAATCAGAAATCAGCCTGAATAATAGATACAGCTAACTGACCAAGAAATAGTTTATATTTCTAAGGAATTAAACATACATCATTAGAAGTTTGTGTAACCGTTATGAAAATCAAATACTACATATTACAACATAGATAAATGAAACTGACCTTCAATTTTCATCCTCTCAAGTATATACTTTAAAAAGGAAGCTCCTAACATGTATTCAATTGTTTTTTGTGGAACCTTAAAGTACACAAAATGTTGTCAAACAATTTAATAATCCAATTCAATACAAATATTTTATCATTAAGAGGTGAAAATAAATCAAATCTAGGGAACCAACATAATGTGACAGTATTCAAAAAAAAGAAAGGAAAGAAGAAAAGAGGCTTTCTCCCTCTCTAGTGAATGTAAGACTATTCTTCTTCTATTACTCAACAAATGATTATCTTAGAAGGATTTTGTGGATTGTATAGTAATTTCAATGGTTGAGATCATGAGTCAATTGAAACTAGACCACCATGGAAAACGTGAGAGCAGTAGACTGCCGTTTCATCCTAGTATGTGACTGCTAAGCAGTGCGCATCCATGATTCTGCCACCTGCGAGATTCGAACACAGGATCTATCAGTCTCGCGCGCAAGCGCTTAACCATTAGACCACTGATTATCTATTTGTGAAACTGTGCTTGATTTAAATTGAATATTTTGGTCATTTACCATTAAATGTTCTTTAACAGAGAGTATAACATATTTCTAAAGTGGTTGATCTCATAGTTGTAAGGTGATTTTTATGATGGATTGACTTCTTACTTTAGTTGTTTTGTGGTCGTTTGGAGCTTTTCAACAGTGAGTACTTATAGGTTTAGTGAGAATCTATCTATTTGCCCATTGATAAACTTGTTACAAATGCAGTAATCTAAACAGAACCCACTCATATTGGGTAGACATGTAATCATAATACTGAAAAAATATAGTATCAAAATAGTGTGAAACAGTTGCTTATTAATTTTTAATTGTCATCATCCAAGAGCATAAATCAATCATAGAATCAAAATGTTCAAGTAACATATACTCACTAAATTTTTTGATTAAGATCATGAACCGATTGATGTTAGACCACTATTGAAAACCTGGAAACACTGGAAGGCCATTTCGTCCTATTGTGGGACTCCTCAGCAGTGCGCACTCACGATCCTGTTCGCGGGATTCGAACCCCGGGCCTTCAGTCTCGCTCACGAACACTTAATAAACTGAACCACTGAGCTGGCATCCAATGGTGTTAATGTCTAACTTCAACCCATCCATGAAATTGAGCGACCATCTTCCATTGTACTGAGGTATATACCTGTCTCTACCCGACACGAATTAGCTGCACTGATCACGGCTTCTCACTAGAACTTCGAGAATTCCTTTTAGAAAGCTAGTCACTAGTGAGCACATTGTAATTATCACTCACTAAATGTAGAAAACCTAAATGTCACCAGATAACTTCAGTAACTCATAAAATGACTATTAAAATTAAGGCCAATTTTTGGTCAGTTAGGATATAAGCAACTCAAAACTATCAAAGTTGGATATTGAGGTAACAGTTAAAGTAACATTTATTATTAGCGTTAATTGTTCAAATAATCATAGAAGAACACTTTGTAGTCATATTGGTAAAAACACTTATGTAGAGAAGAATTGTCTACATTTTTCATTCTAAGTCTTATCAACATGCATAAGTTACCTTAAATTACTTATAAATTGTTTTGAAATATTACAATCGCATTTTAGTACAAGTTGTTTTTTTCGTTCTTTCGTTTTCTCCATCTTCATCAACTGATAGTTGCTTTTCTCGTTTTTATTTAGTTCTTGATACTCACTTACCTACTTACGCCTGTTACTCCTCGTGGAGGAGCATACGCCATTCACCAGCACTCTTTACATCTAACCCTGTCCTGGGCAATCCTTCACAGCTCTTTCTAGTTATTATTCATCCTTTCATATCTGCTTCTATTTCCCGACGTAATGTGTTATTAGGCCTTCCTCATTTCCGCTTCTCTTCAGGATTCCAAATTAGTGCTTGCTTCGTGATGCAATTTGGTGATTTTCACAATGTATTTCCTATCCATTTCCATCGTCTTTTCCTAATTTCCTCTTCAGCTGGAAGCTGGTTTGTTCACTCCCACAATAGGCTGTTGCTGATGGTATCCGACCAACGGATATTGAGTATTTTGCGTAGACAGCCATTTATAAATACTTGCACCATTTTGATGATGGTTTTTGTTCTTCAAGTCTCAGCTCCATACAGTAGAACTGCCTTAACGTTCGTATTGAAGATTGTGAGTTTGATATTGGTTGGTTGGAAGTTGTTTTGAGTAGCAAATATTCTTCAATTGTAGGAATGCGGCCCTTGATTTGCCAATCTTCATGTTTGAGTCTTCTTGGGTTTCTCCTTGTTCATCGATGATGCTGATCGGACACGTGAAAGATTCTACATTTTCCAGTGCTTCTCCATCACATGTGATTAGGTTAGTGTTCCTCGTAATAGTTCTTAACAAAGTATATGATTTTTGTTATCGTGCTTTTGAATTTCGCGCTTAAATATTTATAAACCGCCGTCTTTAAAACTGATTGGTTTATCAGTAAAATATACATTTATGAAAGAAATTTTATAAGCTATCTATTAATACTACTGATTTCAATAAAAGAACAACTCACTGACACTGTAGTGAATATTAATAAAATAATAGGATAACTATAGTTTATATAATATTTCCAAATTCTTATTAGTTCACTGATCAATTCATTGCCTGAAATTGTCAAATAACAATTGTATTTATTAATAAGGAAAGTAAAATACAAGTACGTGATAAAATGATATATAAGGTCGTAGATGTTATTCGAAGCATACTACTTCTTAATGAAAGCCTGGAAGCATTGGATGGCCATCTCTTCCTAGTATTAGACTCTTCAATAGTGCCCACCCACAATCCTGAATGCGAGAATCAGTGCACAGCCTTCAGTCTCGCGCAAAAAGCCAAACCTCCAAACTTTTGAGTCAGCATTCAATAGTATTGGTGTTTAACGTCGAATAATCCACAACATCGCACGAACATCGTCTTCGATGGGTATCTGTCTCACAACCGACAGAGATCAGCTTCACTTATCACGGCTTCTCATTCGAACTCCAAAAATCTCCTCTCGAAGCTGCTCACTAGTAAGCACATTATAATTTTTTGTACGGTTTGTGGAGATTGTTGGACTTCATTTAAGCTTTTCTACTTGTATTCCATTAAACAATCTCATCATTTAGTGTATCGTGTACTTAACACCCGATAGACAGAGTAAATTCTACTTTCCTATATTGTAATCACTTTACAATTTAGAATGTTTAATCAAGTAGAAATAAGCTTCAATTCACAAAACTCATGACAGTACCATGTGTTAACTTGATATCTTTTTGATATTCCCCTTTACAAGTAAGTTAACAGACTTTCATAACTATTTCAACCAAAACATTTTCAGTGTAACCAATGATTACTTGACCTACCATTTAACTTTTCCAACGGTCTGCGAAGAGTACGCATAGTGTTACGTAACACCTTTTTCTAGTGAAATTCAAACAATATTGTAAGATGAATTATTTAGTACAAACATTTAGCATAATAAAAGACTTCCCTAAGCAACTATGAATCTAGTTTAATACAATATCGTCTAATTCAATATATAGTCCATTTCTTGTCATCTGGATATATGATTGATAAGAAGTCGGTTTTTACTAGATATCATCCTCTTAGAATATTAATTCACGTGGTATTGTTTTACTTGAATCTTCCCATTGATGTTTTAGGACTGAAATTGATCAGTTTCTTATTGGCATATGTGCATACTGTGCATATGCCTCGATATATTCAAGTAAAACAATACCAAGTGAATTAAACTTCACCCTATTGCACAAGCAAGTGGCTATCAGTAGCTAAATGGACAACGCGATGGCGTTTGAAGTGAACGGTACTGAGTTCAAGTCCTAGAGTGAACATCAACTCTGAGATGCAGGTACACTCACCTGACGAGTCCCAAACAGGACGAAACGCGCGTCCTGGATTCCACTGCTAGCCACTATCCATCTCTGCTCTTAGAATGTTGTTCGATAAAGCTGAAATTTCTGAACTTCTAAATTAGTTCCAGCCACTACCTAGTTGATGAACGAGGAGAGTGTAGATACATAACCCGTCCGTGCTCTCATATCTACTCATGATCAAGTTGACCTTAGAACATAACGATAAATCGAACCAATCAATCAAAAATTGATCGTTTTTTAATTTTACTTTGATGTAATATGTTCATAAAATGTTGTATGTTCGCTTTATTTTATGAAACTTCATAGTCATAGATCATGCTATGTCTTCCGATAACTGTCATAGCCCAAAGCCGCCAATCAGAAGAAGCGAATTATCGATCGCACCAAGGACGTGTAAAAAACGGACGAGCAGCCTAGAGTCCTGATTGGTCCTGCTTTCCGCCTAGCCCAGCCAGTTAAGTCCAGAACACAAGTCTCAGCCTCTGCAATGTGAATCCTTATATTTCAAACATACTGAGTTTATATACCAATCAAACGGACAACGTTTGTACAAGATTTGGCCAAATGTGGCTGTGAATGTGGTAGGTAGTGACTAACAGACAGGGCATAATTCAAGAATGGTAAGACGTATAATAATGGTTCATAGGTCAAAATAAAGTTTATAATAAGAGGAATATGAATATGAGTAGTTTAGTTGTTTAACAATTATACGATAAAAATATACGTTAAGTATTGGTCCATATAAGGATCCCAAAGTTAATATTCATTATGTTTATCGGGACTTAACAATAATTCCATGATATTAGTACCTTGGAATTATTATTCATTCATGTTTTTCACCTCATTCTATTACTAGTTTCTTTATTCACTTATTTAATTATATTGTAGTCAACGAGAACACAAGTGGGGACAACCTGATGCATTTTCATACAACATTACAGAATATCTGAAAACCATACAGTAAATTCTTCATTTGTAAAATATCCATAAATTATCTCAAACTTTATCGTTCCTTCGTTTCCAAAACAGTCACTCTCTATTATCGTTCTCTTCTCTTTGATTTTCTTAACCCTCTACCTCCAGGCATTTCACTTTCAATTGGTGGTCCATACTACTTATCTTTGTTGACATCAGTAGTACACACCAGAGTATCAATAGCTAAAGTAATAAATATTTACAGTAAAATGTAATGATCGCTAGCAATGGAATACATAAAGCGCGATTCATTCTAGTTGAGATGAGATACATCAAATAGATACATCTCAGTGATTATGTTCACACTGAGACCTGAACACAGTGCTAAGAATTCAGTACTCACTACCTCAGAGAACAATGCATTCTCATTTAAAACTAAAATCACTGAACTGGAGTCTCAGTGTAAAAAATGATATCCAGACAAATCCATCTGACGTGTCCCAAATGAGAAGAAACATGATCCCAGAATTTCCCAGTCAGCCAATAAAATTGTGATTAAATTACATTATCATAGTAGTTCTTTCAAGACGTGCATGTACACACAGAGACTAATCATTTATGGGTATTTAGCATTGACAATGGAAGAATACAAAACCTTACAAATATTAGTTTGAACTCTTGCCATGGCATAAAATGATTATCTGAGTATAATTTATACAACAAATAGTTTTTTTGACAACCATTAGTGTAGTCTTTTTCATCATAAGCAAATTCTTACCGTCTCGTAACTCTCAAAGTTGTTTAGTACTCCATTCATTTCTTAGTTGAAGAATTATGGGTGGTACTTATATTTCAACGCACATACAGTAACCGAAGTTGAAAATTATTAATCGTTGGTTTGTATAGTAACGTCTAAATTACAAATTACATATTTAAAGAATTAATGATCCTTACTGATGTATATTGAATGGACAATGAACTCAACTAAGACTTCTGAATAACCTTTCATTTTCTAATTGGTTATGTAATGAAGGAACAGTGCTTCTGAAACTTTACTAATCACTGGGGACAAACTAAGTTATACTATAAATGAACTAAGATTTTAAAATTTCAGTTGCGAAAATCAAGGTTGATGAATTTAAGGTAATAAATAGCTTGCGTATTTATGTCTTCATGTCTAATGATGTTTGTATACATATCTAAAAGGTTTTATCACGGGCATTAATGATTTGTTCAACTTACATCACAATATTCAATAATAGTAGCTGTTTCAATTCCAGAGTTTACCAGTTGTCTAAATGAAAACAACAATCAACATTTATCAATTCTCATGGAATCATCAATATAATTTAAAACAGATAAAGATTTAATAGTTAAATTCCTGAGTCGATTAATGCTAGACCACCACGGGAAACCTGAAATCACTGAACTTTCGTTTCGCTCTAGTGTGGAACTCCTCATCAGTGCGCATCCACGATCCCGCATGCGAACGCTTAAACTCTAGACCACTGAGCCGACATTCAATGGTGGTAATGTCTAACTTCAACCAATCCACGATATTACGCTACCGTCTACCATTGTCTTTAGTGAGTAATTGCCTCACAACAGACACGACTGATCTGCACTGGTCGTATACGAGAACGAAACAACTGTCCAGTGTTTCCAGGTTTTTCATGGTGGTCTAGCTTTAATCGACTCACGAATTCAACTATTAAAATTGCTACAATCTTCACAAACTCACGTTCAGATAAAAAGTTGTTTAGAATGATCAATATTAACACTCGCTTAATTGTAACAAACATTAACGATATAGATTAACTGAAGTTTTCAATGAGCTATAAGATTTGAAATCTTAATTTTACTTCAGTGGTTATGTGAATGTGATTGATTTCACTTGAGTTACCCTGTGGAAACTAGGGACTACTAAACAACTGTCTTGTCCTAGTATAATCTTCATTAGCAATAAACAGCCACAAACCATCAAAAGTTCGAACCAGGGACTTGTAAAAAATCTGGTTTATGATCAAATAAGACATATTTTTATTTTATTCTTTTCGTGTAATCAACACGAAACAGTTGACAAAGATTGCAAACATTTTGAAGTTATGATTCGTAGAGCAGTCATGTAAAGAAACGAAAACAGACCTTATTGTTACTATCCAATGATAATAGAACTAAATGCAATGAACTACTAGCTCTACAATAATGACTTGTTATCATTGTTGAACTATTGTATATTGTTCAAAATTATAAATGAACAACAATTGAACGTACCTCATATTTCTGACGGCTTCACTGATATCTAGATTTGGTTTACAAAGAATGGTGTTTATTATAGCATTTTGAACACTAAAGAAAATTAAAACAAGAAAGAGAAGTAATATTCAAATTAGACAGAAATATGTGGTGTATATGCTTAGATTTCATTGAACATGTTATAATGTTGATTAGAATCATTCTGAATCCTATAAAGATCCCATGTCTATACAATAAGTTAGATATATGTTAGTGACCTATGTTTAGTAAGTAGATTGGTTTGTTAATAAAGATTACTCTACATTATTTTACTGTCCACATGAAGTACTTAAAATCTTGAGGAAACTGATATCTGTATCCCTCAGCTCAACGATCTGGTAGGCTTCCATTGAACTATTAATGATGAACGTCAACTAACAAGAAATCTAGGTACGAGGTTTCATGTAAAGTATCTCTTACTACCTAACATTTCAACATAGCATATTAGATGTTGAATAATTTAAACTGGGGACCATATTTCAACTTTATCGATAAAATTGAAAGAACTAGACAAACACGAAACTTGCTACTGCTACTGTAGTGCACAAGAACACCAGCTGGGACAATCGAATATATTTAACACACCGTTACAGCACTTCTTAATAAAATCTAACAATCATAAAGTAAATGCTTAATTTGCAAAGTGTCCACTAATTGTCTCAAAATGACTCAGACTTCATTATTCTTGCATTCTCATACAAATTGCATCCTGTTTCCATTCTTTACTGTTCGATCCTCTTGTCTCTTTGCTGTCAGACCTTCTGTTCACGACTAATATCATGTACTACTTATGTCAATATAAGTAGCACACACCACACTACTATACTACCCGGTGAACATATACATATATTCATTTGGTATACAACATTCAGGATTCGATTACGGATTGTCACGTAGTGTTTCCACGATATAATTTACAACAATATCTAGGTGTTTTCATTCAAAACTTGTTTTGTGAGTATAGACTAATATTATTCTCTTTCAATATTGGATTTTATTGGCTATTAATTTTTTATATAGACATGTCACTTGGATATTATTCCCCCCCCCATAGTTTACGACTTAACAATCTTATTCATACACTAACTAGATCATATGAAGTATTTTAAGGATAAAAATGTAGTTTTTATGATCGAAACATTTAAGTTCATAAATGAAATCAGGTTGAAAGCAAACTATAGATACTTTACTTTGAATAAACAGATTGTTATGTCCTTAGCTTATACGACTATCACAAAACACGATTGTCAATTTTAGATACACTGACTTAAGCGATCAAACTAATGATCCATACATCGGTACGAGCAGCTTAGAGTTTGGATTGTTCATTTTTTCCGCCTATCCCTGCTTATTAAATCCAAAACGTTAATCTTAGCCTCCGCGTTACGAATCATATATTTCAAACATACTGGGTTTATATATAAGCTAATTTAGACTACATCACACCATATAACAGAAAATAGCATTTATACAAGATCAAGACAAAATGTGTCTGTGAATGTAGGAGATCAGGCATAACATAAGAACGGTAAATCGTATAATAATAGCCTATGGGTCAAAATAAAGCTTGTAATGAAGGGAATATGAATATACATATAATATAGTTACTTAATAGTCATATAATAAGAATATATGTATAATATTAATCCATAAGTAATTCCTCACGGTTACCATTCATCTATTCACTTCCGGATATAGCACAGATTATATATATAGTCTTTACACTGAAATATAGAATTATCACTGAATAGCATTACACTGGTTAACCAATTTGTTCCCTAATTTTCAATTCTAAATATACAGTATCATTAGAATTGAAAACACTGAAAATCACTTTGAAATTGTCTGGCCAATGTTTAAACACAAGGGTCTACCTAGTAGAAGCCATGAAAATCAAATAAACATGCTGAATTCTTGTAGTTCGTAGGTTTCAATAAAACTAACTGAACAATCTTCATTATTACAGATAAAATTTGTACTGGAAAAGATAAACACTTTGTGATATTTTGATTTCGTATGAGGATTATGGTCATTCACTGTCGTGAAAAACATTTCTTTTCTCTTCAAATAAAAGTAAGTTCAAAACCTTCTCAAGTGTTAAACGATTTGGTAGACATTTCATTTAGCTTTCATCATTGTAATCCCGGTTAACTTGACAGTATAACTTTGTTTACTCCTTGCATGAAAGCAGACTCACCTACATAGTATTTTTTATGTCAACTGATATAACCATGTTAGAACTCTAAAACAAATGAATTCATTAATATAGTTGGATTCTAATTAACAGAAAACTCCAGGAGCTGTATTGCATTCTGTTTGGGACTTTTCAAACTGGCTATACTTTTGTCCTATTGTTAATGTACACAATAACGTTAAAGTCCAATATCTATCCGTTTTATCTAGGTAACCACTAATCTGTTGTGGTGGTCGGTATTCAATATAATCCTTAAACTCCGTACACAGTTCGTCTTGACAACCGTCACTAGATAACGCCCAAACGGTATAATAATCAGAAGGCAAATACGAAGTGTTGTTTATGTTTATTATGGGACCACACACAGATATTCAAAGTTTCAGGTACGTCAAACAAGCATGCGAGAGTTGTGCCGAAAGGCAAGCAGGCAAGCGAGAGAGCGAGTGAGTCAGCGAATATGAGTAGGAGTAAGCGAGTACAATTAAAGCGAGAGAGAGCAATGAACATAAATAACATGGACATATATATAAATAGTGAAATGAATGAATCATCGAATCAACTAAGCGGTTAGTATTAAGGCTAGCAGCGTGAATAAATGCGTAAGCAGTAAGCAATGCTCAAGCATACATGTTCATACATTCGCAACAATAATAAAGATACAATGATATAGATAAGTTGTTGTTGTACGGATGGCTTAGTTCGTTATTAAGTTAACAAAATGACTTAACCGAATTAAATGTGAACAAACTCGACTGCACCTGAGTTGCTATACTGTACCAAATGAAATGATTATTATGGATCTTAGATGAGTGCTTCTATATAGTCCTAAATATCAATGATGAGTTAGGCCCTTCAGAATAAGTGAATTCGAATAATTGTGATTAAAGTTTTAACTACTTATAAGTAATAAAAAAATACAGCAACTAACATTACTAGTCATTACATCTTACATTAACCAAGATTCACTTTGAGACCAATCAAATATTCCAGAATTAAAATTAACACCTAATCTATCATCAAGGTTAGCTCTATGATATTCAGTTTCATTTGAATGGTGCCATTTTTCATTATCATTACTGTCACATTCAAAAGACAGTAAATCATTTGTTGACCAGTATTGATTGTATACAGTTGATTCATTAGATTTCTCCTCTGGAGGATCTTTATTTATTGTAGATTGATTCAATGAATTATTTCCTGACCGGACAATTTTGTGATTGTAAGCATGAGATCTTATCTATTAATGAAAGGTTAGAACAAGACGTATGGATAAATATCGTACATATACATGAAATATTTAAGAAGACAATTTTTCTTATTAGACCTATTTTCATATTCCATTTTCTCCCCCTGATGGTTGATGGTTAAAACCTCTGAGAAGGAGTTCATTTATTCGGGTGTTTTAACTTTTATTAGTAAATGATAGTTCTAACAAGTGAAAACGTCCTCAGAAACTTGTTTCCAACTCATACTTAATCCGTCTAAATGTCAAGCTGTTAACTTGAGAATGAGATATGAACGACATCTAAACACAATTTTGGGATCCCATAATGCTTGTACCATGAGAGACTCTTTGATAAACACAGTGTCAAAGATCGATATCTTAGTGTTACTTTTTCCTCTGATCTCTCTTGGTCTTCTCATGTTTTATTGTTATCGAAGAAAGTTTTCCCTCTGACTCCTACATTTGACCAATTCTCGCATATTACCTATTATTGTTTACTGTTCTCCATTATTATTTCCCGGGCTTTTGAGAAAAGACTGTTGTATTGTGAAGAGTGCTGAAGGAAGATAGCAGGCTGTGTGGTCAGACTTTCGAGGTCATCATTAATATGGTTGTGAATAGACATCTAAAGTCTTGCAAACTCCTGGCAGGTGTTATCTTATCAGATACCAACAACCCCCTTCACTCATATCTTTCTCCTTCTATATTTTCTGGTAGAACGAGACGTAATTACATTAAAATTCATGCACGCAAGCAAAAGCATAAAAGTTCTATAATACCTTAGCAAATATACTCTGTGACAAGCAGGTTGTTAGAGTCAACCTAGTCAATAACCTGTATTCTTAAACATGTTTTTAATTTGGAAAGTTGTATAGTTCCAGATCCTTTTCATCTTTTTCCTCTATTTTTTATTGTTTTGTTTTTGTAAAATAAACTTGTTGAAATACCTTGTGCTGAGAATTCTATATATATATAATATTGAATAAAGTCATTAATTATAATAATACTATCCCATTATCTTTCATTGTAATCCAATAGGTTACTTTCTTTCCTAGTTGGCTGTTTTTGTTACATACTCTCAGGATTATAGTAATGATAGTGTACACGAATTTACCAACTATAGTATTATCTCACTGAAATTCCAAATGTTTCCCGAATACTTTTCGTTTTTCTCTCTCTTTCTTTCAACTACTTGAGGGAATCATTATTGGTAAAGTGTTTTGGGATGAATTTTTGAGCTGTTCACTAGTTTCAAGAGATATCTTCTAGTTATTCGAAATTTAAAATAATCGTAAGTGATCTCAAAATGGAACAGAATCTACCTGTGTTAATTTTGTGATTTCCTAATAAGTATCAAAGAAGATGAAACATTAATATAGGATATCATAGTAACTACCTCCAGACCTCTAACATCTCAGCACAGTGAACATGATGCTGAACCATTCGCAGCAATAGACATATTGCAACACAATCGATTTAACATGAATAGTACAAAAAGACAAGACTAACATAAAGTCATTTTATGACTGAGATTATGAATTGATGATTATAGGAACACCATTGAAATCCCGCATGTGGGATCGTGGATGCGCATGGCTGAAGAGTCCCACAATAGAACGAAATGGCCGTCCAGTGCTCGCAGGTTTCCAACGATAGTCTAACATCAATCGGTTCATGATCTCAATCATAAACAATATCAAATAGATTAACAAGAAATTTCTTAAACACTCACTTCTTTAAAACGTTTTCTATGATCAATAACAATTTCCACCATGACAATAAGTAAATAACTTGATATAATTGTCTTGATTATTTTGCTAATTATAAAACATTTTCAAATAGTTAACATGAAGGTTTATACAATCTATGAATAGTTCAATTGTTTTCAATGATTCCATTCATAATTAAACAATGAAATCAATTAGATTAAAGTACATTAAACAAGACTTTGTTCTATTAGTGAATATGATCAAACTTTATAACTATTCATTGTTTCTTTACTTATCATATAAACAGATTGACTTAATGCTTATGTAATGAATAAAAGTCATTATTCTTTTGTTTTTCTAATATAAATCATTTGAAGAGAATATTTATGCTCGCGCGCGAAGCCAGTAGGTCCTGGGTTCGAATCCCGCAGGGGGCGGGTTCGTGGATACGCACTGCTGAGGAGTCCCATACTAGGACGAAACGGCCGTCCAGTGCTTCCAGGTTTTCAATGGTGGTCTAGCTTCAACTGACTCATGATTTCAACCTGTGAAATTTACTAAAATCTTCACAAAACTCATTCTGACTATAGATTATTATTATACGATTTACTGTTATACTCAGTTATTTGATTACCGTCTCTCACGTTCACAGCCACTTTTTGTCTTCATCTTGTACAAATGTTATAGCCTATTTTGTAGTGTGATGTGATCTGTTTGTTTTCTATATAAACCCAATATGTTTGAAATACATGATTGGTGTTCTGGACTCAACATGCAGGGTCGGACGGGAAAAAGAACCGGTAAGGATTCTAGACTACTCGTACGGAATCGTGAGTCATTTGGTCCGGTCGGTTATATACCATTAGGCACAAGATCACAAGTTATAACAGTTAGGTTCTTATTAAAGTGCTTATAGCCTTAATATTTTAAAATCAACGTTATTACAGATATTGACATACTTATAAACACGAAGATGGTTAGAGATGAATATGTGAATCATGATTTAGCGAAGATCCCAATAGACTTAATAAGGTCATAGAGATTTTGTTTCGGATAAGTAAAGTTTGGGAGGGAAAGTTCCAAAACATTGAACTGGTAATTAGAACTTATAGAGTTAACAAACATTTGGTGATTGTGTGGTGAAGTAACTAAAAAAAGATTAATGGTAATAAAGAAATATATGAAATGAAATCAGTCAGTTATGAATTAAAGAAAAAACAGGAATACGTTCATATCCATTTTCGGACAGGTTTAAGGAGCACCTTTATCTGTCCCTTATTTCCCAGTCCAGGATATTACGTCTTCCGATGGCCTTATGCTTCATGAAGAATTATTCCTAATACAAAATCTGAATATATAGCGTTTTTCGTCAGTCGACGGAATTCCGTAATTTTGCGTGCTGCCTCCACGAAATTGATATTGTTTTGTTCACGAAGATGAGCATTTGATTGGAACAAGCCTGACCATTTTCGCCTCTTCAGTAATAACAGATCTTGTATATATCAATGAGATCTTTTAACTGACGCTTCCATTACTGATGGATAATATTACACTCTAGGATATCCATGACTCTACTAAAAACCAAACCTAGGACTATCGGTCTCGAGCACGAACGCTTAACCTCCAGACTACCGAGCCGAAACATCTTGTATTAACTGAGGTGAATAAGTCTCACATTTGACACAGCTGAACTCTTCTAATCATGGCTTTTCACTAGAAGCCTTGGAATCAGATCTACGAGTTAGTCACCAGTGAACGTAGGATTATTATTATTATTATTATTATTATTATTATTATTATTATTATTATTACAAGGGTTTTGCTCGTAGAAATGTTTAACGCTGAGTATTCACGGCTACTTATGGAATCGATGTCATTAAGAACAGGTTTCAAACTGAGCAAGTTATCACTAAGTCTTCTAAATCCTTAATAATTGTTTACAACTTCTTATTTGTCATGATTACCGCCTAGTGACAGACAAATCTTTATATTATTTATTAACTTAGTTAAATCAACAGATAGCTTTTACCTTTGAATATCCATATAAGTGAGTTTATCGGTCACTCAGTGATTTATGATGAAAGAACCGTTGTTAAATCTAAAAATAATTCTATTTTTTTTTATAAAATAAAATTCAGTCGAATGACATTTCATCAGGTGGTACAACATTTTTTATTTCATCAAAATGCTTAAAATAATCATACTACTGATTAATAATAAGTAGAAAAATGAATAACTAAAAATAATTGGCATCATAAATCCATGTAAAATCGTAATATAGGTAAACTGATTTAAATCGTGACGTAATTCAATCGGATGACATCAAAAGTATTAACTTAGATTAAGATCTGTTCATCATACAGTTGTACTCTTGACAACAAACTACAGTCATATATGAAATGAATGATATCACTGTCAGTAAATTCACATAAGATTCTACAGTTAAGAGTTTTTAGTGGCCCCTATATCTGCCTCCAGTTTGATCGTTTCTGATTGCTATTGAGATATACATATCGCAAATCCACGTATATACTCATCAACTTAATCCGCGTTAGTGGATAGCGGAATCAAATAAGTCAATTACGAAAATGAATTTTGAATATGTATATTTCATGCATTCATTATTGATTTGAACAGGCATGGAAGTAGACAAAAAACGAAGAGAGGAGAGCGAAGCAGATTGGAGAGGACAAGTGAGCCAACTCAACTGAATCAAGGGTAAATCGATATTTATAACCAGACGAAAATAAGTTACAGACATGTGATGAATAGGATAAGAAGTGCACATACTTACATACTCATATAAAAACAGTCAAGGTTGATAAACGAATAAATAATAAGATCAAAATATGACTCAAGAAGAATGGGTAAATTGGCCTATACAGTAGCTAGAATAAGTTGTGTAAGTTTAAAATAGTTAAATGACATTACAAGTTCAAATCGCTAGTCAAAAGCAATATCCATATTTGAAAGGAATACATCTTTATAAATCCTAAATATGAATTAAGAATTATAGGTGATCAGATTGGGTTTTGTGGAAAGTTTTAGAAGTTTCACAGGTTGAAATCATGAGTCATTTGAAGCTCGACCACCATTGAAAACCTGGAAGCACTGGACGGCCGTTTCGTCCTGGTATGGGACTCCTCAGCAGTGCGCATCCACGATCCCAGGACCTACTGGCTTCGCGCGCGAGCACTTAACCATTAGACCACTGAGCCGGTATCCAACCGGTTGTTTCTAGTTGTTATTCATCCTTTTGATATCTGCTTCCAATTCCTGACGTAGTGTGTTCTTTAGCCTTCCTCTTTTCTGTTTCCATTCAGGATTCCAAGTTAGTGCTTGCCTCGTGATGTAGTTTGGTAATTTCTGTAATGTTTATACTATCCAATTTCAACGAATTTTCCCAATTCCTCTTCAGCTGAAAGCTGGTGTACAATTATGGTCAAGAGTTAGGACTAAGAATTGAGGTTTGAGTGAGAAAGTACTTTTCAGCCATAATGATAAATAATTATGCAGTTAGTTATTTAAACTTAAATGTTCAAAAGTTTGAAGTTACTATGAAAAATCAGCAAAACATGTTAAAATATTATGAATCGGAGCATTTTAGAGAGCATACAAAATGCTGATTTTGACCAATTACATTAAATTGAAAATTAACTTTTCAGATACAATCTGCGTCAAAAACAGTTGTTTATTGCAATTTATTTTCCACACTATGTCACGTTCACTGTTTGGTTGCACAACAGAAATATACATCAGAGCTAAATATAAGTCATTCTTACTTAGGTTTTAATAAGTTACAAGTTATCTGTCATTGTGTTATGAATTTTAACTCTGATCGACATGCCTGTCACTTCGTTGTTCGCAAGACCAGACCAGATAGTAAAATAAGAAATTGATACTGATACTTCTGCATTCTTAGAATGGGGATTTATAGAGATTGATAGTATTTTTAACAATTGAATTAACAAGCCGATCTATGATAGACAACTAATGAAAACATGGAAGCACTGGACGGCCGTTTCGTCCCGGCACAGGACTCCTCAGCAGCACATCCCCAACCCGTACACGAGACTCGAACCCAGGACGTCCGGTCATATGAGCCTTTGAACCACCGCTTCTTCACGCCAATGCAGAATGATTATCCTTATATGTTGTTTTAAAATAAAGTATTTATCTTGATCCTGTAACGTAAAACAAAATTTCATAAGAAAACAAAAGCATTACTATCCAAATTACGCTACTTTAGTTAGTTATAAATGTAATTTAAAAAGTCATATAATAAAAAAGGAGAAAATCCTAATTTATATGAAAAAGATCACTTTATGTATCCTAATATTCAATAACTTTTTGTTATAACGCTCGGTTTTACTTCGTCTACACGTATGGGACGTTAATTTATCTTAGACGAATGTCTACACTAGATTCCTTCCCAGTGTCTATTCTACAGGATGTCAACACAATTCAGATGAAGAACACATGATTAGCTTGACCACAACATAAACATATTTCCACACCAGAACCTGAACACAATCCAACAACAATGAACAATCAATCAATAATAATAAGGATAAGGGAATATATAACTCATATGACACCTATCCGACTATCTAAATGTCTGACTAAGCAAACAACCAATCATTATCATTCTCGTCTACACAACACTTTTGTTTGATCTGATAATACTCTATTTTGAATTTTACCTCATATTACCATTGTATCCATGTTTAAACATGAATCAAACTGTATTATAATTCAATTCAATACTGATTAATGTTTTAGTAGATTAATAACAAGTTTTGTATAAGTTTTTTTACACTTTTGAACAAAAGTTAAGAACAGAAAAAGTACCACATGATTGAAATCAATCAATAATTCTTCACATTATTCTATCATTGAAAGAATGTAAACAAAACAACAAAAGAAAATAAATAAAATTATTAAATAGATGAATTTGAGATTAGTATCAGAAGGGGTTTTGTGGGGATTGTAGTAATTTCAACAGTTGAGATCATGAGTCAATTGAAACTAGACCACCATGAAAAACCTGGAAACACTGGACGGTCGTTTTGTCCTATTGTAGGACTCCTCGGCTTATTATACACTATGATTTTAAAAATATGAGAGATTATAAGTCTGAGATGGTGGAGAAGATTTGTAGCTCAGGTGGATGATTTTGAT